TCTGCACCGAACAGACCAAGATAAGATGGACAAATAACCCAAGAAAAGGATGTTACTCCTCAAGTACAGTTAGTAACTTTAGTGCTGCATGGTTACTCAACAGCTTTCTGTCAGTGAAGCGTGTGATTCTCATTTACTTCTCTCTTTCTATAGCTGCTTCATCAACACATACAGTGCCAATCAAAGGTTTGGAGGTACTCGCCCATTACTTCTCACTAGGACTGTACCACGCGTGCTCTGATGTTAACAATCCGCTAGCAGCAACTTCAAAGTAGACACCAAAGCACTCTCTCCTCAAAGTTGGATAAAAACAAATTTGACAAAGGGCTTTAAAATATTCATCAGTGCCCTGTGCAACTGTTATGAGGCATTTAGAGAATAGGAAAATGCCTCACAGTCTGTGTATGAATGTGTTTTGTTTTTGTCTTTGTCTTTTGCAAAGTAACGACACAGTTTAAAGGATAAACATATAATTGCTGTTGAGATGGCGATCTTTCTAAGATATTAATGAACATCATAGAAGGAAATATTCACAAAGGTACTGTTAAGTCTAATTGTTGAATGTTGTCATTGTGCTTCTTAAATTTGTAAACTCTTCCATCTATAGGATCAAGACATTCCTTTGTCTCTGACCACCTCTCCAGCCACTTTGTGCTGGGGAGGTGCTTGTGTTGTATTGTGTATTGTAACAGTTGTCAATAAATAGCTGCCAGCGAGCTGCTCTTTGAAGGACTTTGGGCTGGAGACAGGTTAGGAGCGTGAGCTTCAAGAGCTGGTTCTTGACCAAAGACTTCCCTCGCTAGCGGGTTGAAGATCTTCTGTTATGTCTTGTTTTCTTCATGATGAATAAGTCTCTAAACTAGCAGGGCTTGTGGAAACACAGACCCAACATTTATACCTCCTTTACTCAAGTGCCTTTAATCAAAATGTCCATTTATATGTGTAACATTAACATTGCATTAGCAGTTGATTCAATAAATATACTGTGTGAGCAACTACAGTCAAATTTCTACGCAAACTCACTGGAGATTAATAAGCAGACTGTCAGGAAACTGAAAAGAAGATCCTGACACTCATACTTATTCAATACATTCTGATTTAAAACTGTCTTTAGTCATTTTAGTTTACCCTTTTTTATATTTCAGCTTTTCTTCTGTTCATTTAATGCATTATTTTCACAACTTAGGTTGCCTTGTATCAAAATACTTATTTGATACGAGTTATCTATGACATAATTATTACAAATAAACTTGCATTGCTTCATCTTGCCAAATGTAAAATGAATAGACAGAGAGCCCAGCTTTCAGTTTAAATAATTTAACTTCATCAAGTTTTAAAAGGTTTAGGGATAGACAGAGTTTTATTAGAGGCAAGTAGAATAATTTATATTAGTAGGCATGCTGGAACATATAACCATGAGTCATTTCATTAGCTAGAGGATGAGGATATAGTTGTTATCTAATGAGTAAGGAAAATTATATAAGGAAAATTGTCTGCTGACTGGGGAACATTATATAAACTGAAAACAACAGCATACTCACAATGGACATATAGTGGAAACCACAAAAAACACTTCACAGGTTTAAAACATCTACTCTATATTTACGCAAGTTTCTAGATGACATGAGCATTCACACTGATCAATCCTGTCAAAAGCAGGATTAAATCTTAAAGGTTGATTCAGTCCCAGATGTCAAAAGGACATTGGCAATCTTGGCCTGGACTGTTATAGTCACATAGGAAGCTCATGAATCTCATCTAATAACTGTTAAAAACTCGAAAGCTACATCTTAAAATGGACAAAAAGGCCAGTCTAAACTTGTTCACCCTCTTCAGATATCCCTGTCTGTCCAGTCGACAGCTAGAAATAGAGAAGGATGGACAATGCTCCAAATTTGTGAGATTTCTACATATGTATACAATCATAGGCAAGTACAGATATTGTACAGCCTTCGTTGGTCTTCTATGAAATATTTAGTGCAGGCTCTGGATGATCCAGCCCATGATTGATGACAGGAATTCTAGTCTTGTTTTTTTATGGCTTCTTATACATCATCTAACCAGCTGTGACTGTCCAGATGTCAGAAACAGTGACCGATTCTAGTCTGGGTGCTTGTATTGGATTCTGCTGCAGACTGATTTATGAGTAGGAATATCGCCAAGCCACATTTATTTGTCATGTTAACTGTGACATGAGAGTAGCATTATTGGAATTTGTTGCCTGCCATCTGATGCACAATACCCACTGACGGAGCAGGAACTGGTAATTCCACATTTATTAATGCATGGAGGACAAAGATGACAGCAATACTCACGTTTGGCTTTGGTTTCTTCTGTAAATTGTCTGAAGGCGAGCCCATATTAATAGCAGATTTTAAATAAAACCTTCAAAATAAAATCTATTTAAGATTTTATTATTTAGTAATGGTTTCAGAGGAAGTGGGACACAATTGGTTTTGAGCAATGAACAAAAGAAAATGCTTACAAATTTTACTCTGAATATAAACTTATATACTATGGGATTCAAACTATAACTTGAAACATTTATATAAGTATTGTGATTTTTAAGAATATTGTCAAAGTCCTAATCTGTAAACAGATATTTGTGATATTATGAATAGCAGAAACCAGCAGGATCTAACATGATGTTACATAAATGCTACTGCAGGTGAAAAAGGCTTTTCTTGGTGTTAGGCACTGCTTTGCCAGCGGTCAGACACAATCTCATTTTATGGTGACTGGAATCTGATCTGGGATCTGAGTGCGAGACAGACAATGCTTTGTCAACTTTCCATTGACAAAGAATGTAAACAGAGAGAGGGAAGCTTCAAATTGGGCCTAGAGTCTCCTGGAGAATAATTAATGTGACATTTCCCTGACATTTAGTCAGAAGTATATACCAGAGGAGCCTCAAGAAGGAAGGAAGGGAGGAGAGATATGAGCCAATGCAGAGAAAAGAAAGCCAGGAAGGATGGCAGGGCAGAGAAAACACAGGCAGCAACACTGAGATTTTGTTTTTAAACATTTTTCCCCTGAACATCTAAAAATTGTAGCTTCTTGTTTTGTTTTGTACAAACATTAAAACAGGAACTAAACAGAAGTGCAATTACACAGAAACACAAACAGGCCCACTCCTGTTCAATACCCACTCCTTCGGCGATGATAAAATCGTACTTTTGTTGCCTGGTAACCATTTGTTTTGTGCTAACCGCTACCATTCACCATCTTTTTATGGGCTGCTGCACATTTTTGGTCCAGGATAGGAGAGCACAGCTGATCAGTCTGTGGTTCAAGTTGGATTGCTCAACAAGCCCACAGTTAAATAAATAAATAAAAGAACTAAGACAATACATGAACCCCTTGAATGGTTTTGGTAGCTTGGTCTGTGGTTTAATGTGGTCCTTTTTTAACTAATTAGGAATTAATAAACTCTGCTGCTTGCTATGTCAAGTTTGCTCCTTTTTCTGTCTATCCCTACCCTCCACTATCAAGATATAATGATGCCAAGCCAGGAGGTGATGTGAATTAGCAGCTCAGTTAAATTCTTTTAACATGAATAATAGATATATATAGACATTGAGAGCTAGAGATTCGCCGAAACCACTTTGCATAAGCAATTTTCTGTGTTATTATTCAAAGTGAATCGCTGTACCCATCTTCGTCGAGCACTTCACAACAGTTTGTCGCTGATATTTTGATAAATTGCAGGTATCGGGGCGTGATAACGGAGACAAGAACTTATGGTCGACTCCGAGTGGTCATCTCCTTTTTGTAGGCTACAGCACTTTCTTAGCGCTAACCCAATAAGCATCGATTTTACATCTCTTTGATTCTTGTGAAGAAGACATTTCACTGACAGACTCACAGCACTCATCTCACTCTGTTTGTGGATTAGAGCTGACAGTTCTAACAAATCCTCGCTGCAAAGCATCAGCCGGCACAAATTGCTAATAGTTTCATTTCCATTTCCCATGCAATAATAGCTGCAAGACAAACAAGGCACGCTGCTCCCCTTAAAACTGAGCTGGAAAGAAACAGCCCCCCTCTTTGATCCTTCCAATCCAACTGAGAAGAGTGTGATCAAAGGTTGCTCATGTTTAACACTGCTGTGGTCTCCCAGGTTGCAGTTGCAGGTGTGGCTCTGTGAAAGACCTGCTGATGGCATAACATGCATTGACTAACGGTGCGGGTTAGGGTTATGGTTGAAAGAATTCCATGTCATTTCCAGCTTCTTGTTCATGTGCACAGAGCTAAAATTCAATATCTCAAACCTCTTAATCTCAAAATGATTTTTTTTTGGGGGGGGGGTCACAAAAAAGCAAGTGCTTTAGTTATTTTAATGTAGTTGCACTTTATATTACAGCTTGGTAACAGTGAGATAATAAGGTGGAAAAAAATTAAGTAATATTGTGGAAATAACAAGTTATTACCAACTGGTCCATTTGGTCCACTGGTCTGTTTGTTTGAAGGTCTGTTTTTGGTTTTGATGATAATGATGATGGCAATAATACAGCAACGGTCCTTTGTAACTGCAGCATTACAGGACACAAGGCTAATGAGCCCAATGTCACGTTTTAAAGATGTTTTATAGCGATAAATAAAGGCAGCCATTTATGTTGTTACCAAATTCGTCTTCCTGTTTTGTTCCCAGGTTTCAAATCACAATAACTGCAGACAACAGCACACAAATCCCATGTGAACAAATGGCATTGACAGGCTTTTTCTATGATTTCCAGCATTTACTCCATGTTCCAACTTTTGAACAATCAAAATGTAATGACTGATACATTTTGTGTAATCATAAGCTGTTTCCTCTCCGTGCAATGGCAGTAATCTAAGGTCACCTGGCTGTGCTGATATTTGGTACAGGAGCACTTCCTATTATTTGATTTTTCTTGAATAAACTGAAATTTCAAGCACAACACCGCAGGTATTTCTGCGACAGGGGTCAAAGTGAACATAACCATGATCAACTCACACCCAAAATCCCGTGGCATTACCTTTGCTGCAACAGATGAGCTGGGCTTCTCCAGGAGGTCCCAAAGTTTCTTTCTTTTTTCGGCACAGCAGGTGTTGTCAAATTCTTCTCCCTCTCTGTCTTTTAAGTTGTCTGCCTCCCTTTTGAGTTCTTCATTCATTTGCTCCTTTTTCTGGTGATATCTTGCTTGGCAACACGACTCCAGGTAGATCTCATCGATGCCCCAGTAGTCTAGTTCTTGACTAAATGAAAGGGCGCACATTTCCTCCATCATGTGCAGCTTACCCGTGCGGTAAAAGTTCAGAATAGATGTAAACGCCCCTGGATGCCGGTCGAAAAAGTACTCATTCTCCTCCAGACTGTAATCATCGCACACTTCCATCAGTGATTCGTGCGAGTTGCAATCTCTTAACTTTCCCAAACGCGTTCGTGGTAGCCTGTCTAACGTTCGCCACAAGACCTCATGCGGGAGCCCTCCAACGTTTAGCCTGACTCTGCGGAAACATGACTTGCTGCGAACGATGTCCACTGGTTCAGGTGGCAGCGATGATGTTGACCGAGAGCCGGCTTTATTTAACTCGGCCAAGGATTTCTCCATGATAACTTTAGGTAAAGAGAGCATGAGGACCGCTGAGGCTATGGACTACACTTGATTGTCTCTTCATTCATTATCGTATCTGAAGGAATCACAAAATAAAAACAAACCATTAGTGTTACAGAGCTTAATACAAATGTCAGAGGCCCATTGATTTCTGTTGTAACAGTCGTAACACCTTGCTGCTCTGGCTCTGGGATACATTACCCCAGAAAGGCAAACCTGACTATTGTTAAAATGATGATAAAAGTAAAACAAAATTATTTCACTCACATTAATTCTTCCATATTTCTTCTGAAAATGTCGTTCAACAATCATAAAATGCTTTCTTAACTGTTCACTGGTTGAACTGCTCATGCAAAAATACTGGAAATCAATAAAATTAAGTTATTTCTAATGATATTTCCCAATCAGTTACTGCTGTTCTTGTTGTCTTCAGCATTATTCTATTTTTTTTTTAATTTCTTCCTAAAACCACAAGAATCTCTTGGTGAACAGATGGGGGTTATTAAGATGACTCATTCACATATAAACAAGGCAAAAAAAAAAAAAAAAAAACAGAATCCCAGCTTATTATTGTGCTGCAATCATCTAAAACTGATACTGCAAAAAGCCTCATGTTCTAAAATCTTACAAAACACTTTTGACACTTCTAACAACAGGAACAGAAGAAAAACTGCCTCAGATGCTATAGATCAGATACATTTAGAATAAAGAAATGAAATCATCCTTATCTACCTAAAAAGCTGTTGTGACTTAAATGAATAAAACAGTCCAATCTTCTTTTTTAAAATTGTTTCCTCATCCAATAGTAGAAAAAAAAATGCTCAGAAAGATAAAAGGCTAAAGCCAGCACACACTGTCATGCATTTCTTTTGGGGGGTTAAAAGATATTTTGGGAAACTTTACCAAAATGCATCCATGCTGTTCTATCATCAATTTAAGCCAGTGTGGGGGGAAAAATGCTGATGATAACAAGTTCCCAAAACTTTACACAACCTATTTGTGCTGACCAATTCTGAAGAGAGCTCTCCTCTGTGGTAACAGATGAAATATTTATCTTTATGACAACAACTATTTCTGCTGTGATGGCTTAGATGGCTGCACAAGGTGGCAAAAGAGGTCATCGTGCCCATTTTTTCTTACTATTAATATTATTATTATTATTTTGCCTCCACAGAGGTCGATCTGTGCCCGTATGACGCCCATGCAGTGCTGTGGGTGGGTGAGACGCAGAACACCACGCAGTGATGAATGTCGTACAAAGTGAGCGCTGTCCAGTCCAATGGTGCTGAAACACCAGGAAGCAAATGTTCACTCCCTGAATCACGGCGAGCTCCCTTGGGAGGGCAGGCTATCTGACAAGAAAATATAGCCTACGTTACATCCTCTTGTGACGAAGAGGCCAATATTTTTATGGACCATTTATGACAGTACACGTGGCACAAGCTTCACATTGAAACGTATATATTGAGCTTGTGTGTTGTGTGATGAGGGCACGGAAAAGTCCACAACACATCGGGCCTGCAGATGTGATCACTGTCTCACAAAGTTTGTAATCTTTCACAAGCACGAATAGGCCTGAGGACTAGTTTCAAAATGCGCATGCAAAAAAATTTTGAAAAAAAGAAAGAATGAAAAAACTGAACACAAAAGTCTACTGCTGAATTCAAAATGTAGATATTGTTATATCTGTGTTGTGGATATTGCTGGAATAAATAAAACAATAACAATAATAATAATAATAAATATTCATTTGAAGCCGCCTCCACCCTCCTCCTGCTTTATCCAAGTCAAAGCTTCGACAAAACAGATTAAACAAACCACAAAACAAACATCAGCCCCACCTTTGTACACACTGGCAATCTGCGTAGCTACATTGGGAATGGTACTAGCCATCTAAAAGTGCAATGTAGTGAATGCAAATCTTCCATCTTTTCCCGTGTTTTTCAAAGGCTCCCTGCTCCATAATGGTGCAAGCTTAAACGCACAGTGTTCCCCCCCCATGCAACTGGAAAGCTATTACAATTGATAGGTTGCACATTACACAAAGTCCAGAAATGGAAAATTAGCTCAAAAATACCTTCGTGAGTTGTCATCCTACACTGAATCAAACCAGCACGTACCGCCTTGTGAACAATCAATCCGCTGCCACAAACAAAAAGGAAGCAGTAGCATTTAAAAAAAATAAAAAAAATTGAGGCGCCGTTATTGGTTTACTATTGCCAGGGTCTAAACCAATCCATTTCCCCCTCCTCTGCCTCCGACATGGCAGAGATATCTTCTGCACGATCTACTGTCTACCCGCCGGTTTCCTGCTCCGCATCTTGCTTCCCTGATTCACCCTGAAGATCAACAAGTACGCCGACAAGCTCGTTCGGACAGACTACCTGTGTTCCCAGTCAGCTGTGTGAGGAGGCGCCGCATCTCTGTGAAGGTGGATCCATGGCAGCTCGGCGCTCTCTTTCACAACTGTTTAACTCTTTCACCACCGCCTCCTGCAAATCTATCATCAAAAACACACAGCTACGTGTACGTCAGACTATGATGTCTCCAGAAAAAGACGCGTAAATGTGCATGTGCACAAAAGCCTAGCATCTGAAAACACACCCGCAGCTCCCACCTGACTGGAGAGACACACTGTAGCTCTATTTATTACGTTATTAGGCACTAGTGATGCATCGTTGTATGGTGTGTGACTGATGTGATCACTTCTAGATTGATCAGTTTCACTAGTCTGCTTTGCAGTCCACCATAACCTGTGGGGAGCGGGCGGGGGTCAGGCCTCCAATGAAGAGTGTGGTGAAATATTTTATATTACACGGCACTACAGTGCAAGCATTTAAATAATTTCAAAGCTGATATCAATCCTGACCCATTACAAAATCAATATAATCGAGCTGTTGCACTGATCTTTAATGTTGCATCTTCTGTATTTGCATTTCCTTTAGAAAATAACTTCTGAACACAGATAAGAAATCGGAGTCATTAAAAATGAGACAAAATCAGCTGGTTAGTGTTTCCTTTAGTTTTTTATTAACATACAAAATTCAAAAAGTTAAATAGGATTTAAGGTGGACTGATCAAATATAAGATACAATAAATAATATTACAGTATGTCAGTAAGTAGTTTGTACAGTAAGGTGCTATGTTCTCTTCAGTCTGTATCGGACCTGCAGGTCTCCGTCTGGCTGGAGCATCCCAAACCCATAACGACTGGGATTAACAGGAGGCAGTTTAGCCTCAGGGTCACACGGCTCCAGATCAAGATGGGTCAAGGCCAAAAAGACAAATCTAAAGAAAAAAGAGGTAAAAACTGTTTACATCTTTTCACACATATTAGTGCACCTGAGGCTGTTTTAACATTTGTACAGGACGTCTGACATTGGCTGTTACGAGTGACTGTTCTCTAATATCCTTCACCTCTGTCATACAGGTCCGTACAGAGAATAAGCAATGGCTGTATAACAGCTTCTTACTTTATGATTGAGAACATAAAAGCAGGACTGAAATGATAAAAAGGGGGGATATTATGTGAAGATGGCCAGAACGAGTAATCAGGTTGAAATTGCATGGAACTCTTTGATGATGAAAGTATTATTTATTTTTCAACTTCAGATAAATAATGGAAATATGTTACAAATGATTTTAACACTCACTGTTTAATAGTTGAAATAGCAAACTCTTTCCCAACGCAGCTGTTTTTCCCTGCACCCCAAGGCATGCTGCAATACTTCAGCTTTTTTCCATCCTTGTAGAATTCATCCTTCACTGTCATATCATCATTTAGGAAGCGGTCGTACTTGAAAGTCTGTCAAGAGCAAAACATGTGGGCTTCGTTAGCTGTGTGTGTTATGATATCATGAAAACAAGCTTGACTTTTTGGCTATAAAATAACATCTCACCTCTAATGAATTAAGACAAATAATAAGAATGAACATTAATAAATAACCAAGCCCTAGTCCTTGACAAAGAATTTGTAGGCATTTACCAGCTTATGCCAGGGGAAGTATTATGCCTGTGTTTTAAATCACAGTGTTTAATCATGCCACCTCGAGGCCAGCTTATTTGCCATAATATAATTAGTATAGAGGGGCCCATGTTGGTGCTGTTAATGCATATATCCTATTCTAGATTAATGCACTTCATATGTACACACTAAATACCTGTGGCTCTTGGTGTATCTGTGGGTCCATTTGAGGGCTGAGGAAAGGGAACAGACACACTCTGTCCCCTCGTCTGAGGTGGTACCTCTTTCCATTGGCCATGTCCAGGATCTTATCCTGCACCACCTCTCTTCTGATCATTACTGCAGCAGTGAGCCGTAGGGTCTCACTCAAAATGCTATCTGTAGAATTGAAAGGACAGCAGAGTGGATGATGTCAGAGGGGTGTCAGTGTGAGTTAAGTCAGCGGTGCCCTCAGGCGTAATTTGGCGACGAACAAACATTGCACAGATACGATTATATGAAAAAGGCAATCAACATTTAATTGGTTCAAAGTTCAAACTGCCATGGCTGCTGTCACTGTTTCAATACACTGCAGTTATTTCTAACAGCTCAAAATGAGCTTTTGTTTCCATCCCACTGGAGCAATTAAACCCCAAGGTAGAAGGGCTCAAGTGAATAACAGAAAAGGCTGCTAGCAGCTGTTACGTACCAAATACAGGTGTGCTGTGCGCTTCCAGCGGGTTGTTCTGGGGCTGCTGAAAGGAAGTATCCCGCCGAGTGGAAAGGCCTCTGATCTCTGACTTAACAGCCTCCATGGCCTCTGGGTGAGTGAGCAGGAAGCCAAGGAGCCAAAAGGCAGCAGGTCCAGCATTACACTGAAACAAACATTGCACGCACACAAACCTTTACACGAGTTTCAGATGAAAAAAAACAACAGAATTCATTTTGTACGTATAAAGCTAATATATACCTAAAATAGAGATACTTCTGATGATGGCTATTATTCGCTTTCCTCTAATTTCTCTGTACTGCTGCTGTGTGAATATGACTGATGTGAGGAGAAGCCTGTCATGGTCCTGGGCCATGTGGGCCCAGTATTCTCAGTTCTTTGTATTCTCGTATTTCGTTCCTTATTTAGACCATGTCTTCTGAGTTGCCCTGTTGTGTTGTTCCCTAAGTGTTTTCCCTTCATGGCTTCTACCCCCTGTGTGCCCCTCTGTGTATCTGTGAGCCCTCGTCTCTCCTTATGTTTTATTCCATGTTTCCCCAGCCCGTTATGTCTGTGTTTTCCCCGTGCTCTCTCTCTCCTCCTGTCTGAACCTCTACATGTCATGTTCAGTTCACCCCGCCCTGTCTCGTTATGGTTATCTGTGTCACCTGTGTTCCCCGTGTGTTCCCACTTTCCTCGTTAACCCTCTGTGTATTTCTGTCTGCGTCTTCCCCTGTTCGGCGTCGCGTTCTCCCTCATGTTGTGTGGATCTCCCTGTGTCTCTCCGCGTATGTTAGTTTACTTTTCCCAGTTTAGTTTTGTATTTCCTATGTTCTGCCATTCCAGCATTAAAGCTGTGATTTTGAGTTCATCCCCGTGTCTGTGAGTTTTGCTCTTGGGTCCTTCTCCTGCCTGCCACACAGCGAATCATGACAGAAGAACGCGACCTCGACATGGACCCAGCGATTCACAACCCCTCCGCTGACCTCCGTGAGGATCTAATCCACACGGTGGTATATGACTGTCAGAAGTGGTTGACGCTGCCAAGGGGAGGATACCGGGAGATCTTAGCCAGCCGTCTACAGCGGATGGTGTCCGGACTCCCCTGGTTATTCGGCGCGCTACACCCCCGCATCCGGGACTTCCTCGTGTCCACCATGGGCATCCGCCCGGAACTGCCTCTCCGGTGGGAAGAGTCGGAGGACGTTCAGTCCAGTCCGCTGGAGGATTCGCGGCCCGGCTCAGCTCCTCCACCATCCCGGAGAAAACGGCGTTCACGCCGCCGTCGCACCACCCCACAGCCGGACATTCGGACTTCTAATTCACCTGCTGTGGTGAGTGAGGACTCTGTGTCTTTTCCAGACATTATGACTGTTCATTCAGGAGCTGTGTCTTGTGTGGCGGATGTCAAAGCGAGCTGCTTATCGCCTGTGCAGCTACCAGCGGCTCAGTTAGCACCCTCGCAGCCACCCTCAGTTCAGTTAGCACCCTCGCAGCCACCCTCAGTTCAGTTAGCTCCCTCGCAGCCACCCTCAGTTCAGTTAGCTCCCTCGCAGCCACCCTCAGTTCAGTTAGCTCCCTCGCAGCCACCCTCAGTTCAGTTAGCTCCCTCGCAGCCACCCTCAGTTCAGTTAGCTCCCTCGCAGCCACCCTCAGTTCAGTTAGCTCCCTCGCAGCCACCCTCAGTTCAGTTAGCTCCCTCGCAGCCACCCTCAGTTCAGTTAGCTCCCTCACAGCCCTTCACAGCTCAGTCAGCTACCCTCCTGGAAGCCCCCGCTGCCTGGTATTCTCAGCATCGGCATCTTTTCCCGTCAAGATTTATCGCTAAATCGTTCGATCCTCCCTTAAGAGAGAGACTGCATCCTCGCTGCCTTCACCCCAGTACACCAGTGTCACCTGGGTCTCCAGTGTCACCCCCAGTTCAGTCTCCAGTAGCTCCAGTGTCACCCCCAGTTCAGTCCCTAGTAGCTCCAGTGTCACCCCCAGTTCAGTCCCCAGTGCCGCCTGTAGCGCAGGCCCCAGTAGCTCCAGTGCCGCCTGTAGCGCAGGCCCCAGTAGCTCCAGTGCCGCCTGTAGCGCAGGCCCCAGTAGCTCCAGTGCCGCCTGTAGCGCAGGCCCCAGTAGCTCCAGTGCCGCCTGTAGCGCAGGCCCCAGTAGCTCCAGTGCCGCCTGTAGCGCAGGCCCCAGTAGCTCCAGTGCCGCCTGTAGCGCAGGCCCCAGTAGCTCCAGTGCCGCCTGTAGCGCAGGCCCCAGTAGCTCCAGTGCCGCCTGTAGCGCAGGCTCCAGTAGCTCCTGTAGCCCAGTCCCCGATAGCAGTACGGTCCGCTGGTCAGCTTAACATTCAGCCGGGGGTCTCAAATCTCTCTGGCTCTGCATCAACTCCTGCTGGGAGCTCGGATGAGCTCATCCAGGACTCCGCGGCTCCCACGCCGCCTTCTACCTCGTCAGCTGGAGGGTCCGAGGGGCCCGTTCAGCCTCCTGTCTCCGCTGGAGGGTCCGAGGGGCCCGTTCAGCCTCCTGTCTCCGCTGGAGGGTCCGAGGGGCCCGTTCAGCCTCCTGTCTCCGCTGGAGGGTCCGAGGGGCCCGTTCAGCAACCTTCCTCGTCAGCTGGGGGTTCGGGAGAACCGCACCAGCCTCATGCCACATCAGCTGGAGGGCCCGAGGAGCCCATCCAGCCACCTTCTGCTACGCCTGGTCCAGCCTGTGCTTCGTTAGCTGCAGCCTCGGAGCCTTCGTCAGCTGCAGCCTCGG